TCAATATTATTACAAAGAAAATTTTATTTCACTACGAGTTAAATTAATAATTGTTTATTTTGGCAGTGAGATACTGAAAATAAAATGTATTGATATCATGTCATTTGCTTGCCTTTTTAAAAGCAATATAAAACTCTTTCTGTGTTTATCGATGAATTTTTATTTTCTAAACCTACAAATAGGCCTATTACTTGTTTTATTTTGTACTTTATTACCAATTTGAAATAAATTTAAAGCATTAACTAGGTGGAATATCGGTTTATTAACTAAATAACTTAATTTTTTGTAAAGAAGTGTTACATATAGTCATATGAGAAATCAGGATTTTTTTAAGGAGGGGTGCTCATTTTTAATAAGCCAAAATAAAGACCTTTACAAATATAATTGATAATATTGTTAAAAAATACAATATTTATGTTATAGATTGAAATATATATAGTTTTTAAAAATTATTATATAATGCAATAGGTTTGTTTGTTTTGGAATTTCGCGCAAAGCTACACGAGGGCTATCTGCGCTAGCCGTCCCTAATTTAGCAGTGTAAGACTAGAGGGAAGGCAGCTGGTCATCACCACCCACCGCCAACTCTTGGGCTACTCTTTTACCAACGAATAGTGGGATTGACCGTCACATTATAACACCCCCACGGCTGAAAGGGCGAGCATGTTTGGTGGGATGCGGATTCGAACCTCAGATTGCGAGTCGAGTGCCCTAACACCTGGCCATGCCGGGCCCTGTTAGTTTTTACCTCTAGTTAGTTTAAGCCCTTACTAAATACACATGTATAATTAATACTAGCTAAACAATAGTTTCATTAAGTCATAGTTACGTGACATTAGTTCGGATGAGTTGTGTTAGACATACCTCATATAGTCCCTGGTTGGTCAGTGGTAAGTTACAGAATTCAAACTCTAAAATCCGAGGTTCGATTGCTCGAAGTGGACAGAGCGCAGATAAACCCATTGGTGCCTTTTCACTATTTTTATTACATTTAACATGGTCATATTTTATTATAGTACCTGTATTCTAGCTGTACAATAGAATTTCATATTTATTATTTCATACCTTCGTCAACTCAACAACTTGTTTTACTTCCTCTGGTTGCTCATCCTCCGCTGCATCTTCTATAAATCGTTGCCGATCTAATCATTGTAAGTTTTCCTTGGACAGACCTTCCCCATGTCTTCATCTTCCACTCCTGCATTGTAGACAAGGTTGACAATGTCTTCACGGACTGCTGGTATTTTTTTCTTCAAAACGCTCGAAGTCATTAATGCATTCCGGCCATACCTTCCTCTAAACTCTGTGCATATAACTAGTATTAAATTCCATCCAGGCATGGTCGATATTGCCAATTGCCTTCATTATATGATAAGAATGCCTGAAGTCTCCGATTGTAAGGTTCTCATTAGTAGATGTCTTATTAAATAGCTGACGAAAGGTACGACGTACATAATACGCCTTAAACGTCGCTATGACCTCCTGATCCATTGGCTGAATGAGCGATGTTGTGTTAGGAGGCCAGTCTGGACCGGAATGCAAGCCTTCAAATTGTCGAAATGAGAAAGGCGACAATGAGAAGTATCTAAGAGAAGCAAGGCCTTTTTACAGGTTTTTTTCAATGCAGTATTTCTCCACCACTGCTAGGCAAAAGTATGAGACAAACCAATCTTGAAAAACATCAGTTATTATCCTAGCTTTACGATTGAAGCGCCAAACAACCAGTAGGTGTAGCTTCGAGAATCTTTCCATAGCCGTGGCGTTCCTGAATGGTACTCTATCATTGGTTTCGATTTAAAGTCTCCTGTCGCATTACCACCAAGTAACAGCCGAACTTTTGCGGCTTTAAATTCTGGATCAATCTTCTCCTCACAAGAAATAAACATACGTGACGGTATCCGTTTCCAAAATAGTCCCGTTTCATCTGCGTTGTAAACGAATACAGGGGGATATCCGCCACTTTCTGTGATCTCTTTAACTTGTCTGGAAATTCCAAAGTAGCTTGTTGATCGGCACTAGTGGCCTCGCCTGTTATTTTGATGTTATGTAGATAATTTCTTCGCCTAAAACGGTCGAACCAATTTTTACTTGGAGTAAAGGTCCCTGCTGTTGAACTTTCACCTTCCTCCTCACGTAATTCCTCCTACAATGTTTTAGCTTTCTCCATTATCAGAGCCTGCCTTAGTGGCAGACGATTCTGATTTTGGTCGATAACCCAATTTGTTACTAACCTTTCCATTTTTTCTAAGACTATTTCTCGTATGTCTTAATTTACTTGAAGCTAATGGCGTATTGGCATAAGCTGACGGTTTTATTTTCTCTGCATTCTTGAAAAATGTTTTTACAGTTGTTGCAGGAAGCCTTACGTCCCGTGCAACATCAACAGCACGTCGCCCTTCCTCTAAGTATTTAACAATTTCGATCTTTTTTGTTTAATGTTATTACATTTCGAGTCACGTTTTTGCTCTCATTACCTGCAGGACTACTTGATAGTCACTTTGTTGCCATAAATCAAGTAATGAGTGAGTGCTGCAAAAAGTCAACGCTAAAATGTAAATAATGTCACAGTGCAGCCAACCCTGCGTCGCCAGTAAAGCTAACCCACACAAGGAATTTACGGAAAGAATTTTCCGTGCGTTTTATATATATATATATTAACTTCAACCTTTTTTTTTACATTTTTGATTTTATTTAAAATTTTTCAACGACACAAAAGCGAAACAACGTAATTAGGGACGACGTTAATAGTGGGTCGACTGTATTCTGTAAACTTGGCATATTGTAACGAGTTCAACACAAAGAGATGACATTTTTTCTTTAGCAGAAACTAAACTAATTGTAAACAAAGTTTATATTTTGCATTGTGTAAAAATGAAATGCATTTCCTTCAGAGACGTAACAGTTAAATAATCCCTAAAAGTCCCACTTTTTTGAGACAGCAACGTGAAAATATGGTTTTTCCAATATTACAGTTAGATAATTCTTAAATGTTCCGCTTTACGAAACAGCAACGCTAAGAAATTACATACATATTATCTTCACATATACTGTTGAATGATTTTTAAAAATAGAACGAAGACATTTATATTTATTTAGGACAGACCTGTTTTGCTTATGCCTGTTATTTACAAGCTAACCAAATCTTATGTGATCAGAGTAACAATAAAGCTTGTGTGTTAGTTTATTAAGTTCGGTCAAGTTAAGAGTTGTTGTCGAACATCTTCAGCGGTATTTCTGCGGACTTACAACGCTAGAATCCGGGTTTCGATACCCATGGTGAGCATAGCACAGATAGCTCATTGTGTAGCTTTGTGCTTAATTACAAACAAACAATCGAACATCTTGAAACACTCCTTAAAACATGTTTAATCGTAAAACGTCATCATCATTGCCATAAATGTTTTGAGACATCAAACTGGAGAAAAAAATTCTTCTTTATATTGAGCCGGCGGTGACCTAGTGGCCGTGGGTGCGTTATAAGAGTAATGATTAATTCCTACTATCCGGTCAGGTAAGAGTAGCTAAAAGAGTATGCGGTGGATACTGTTGACTAATTTCTTAGTCTATCAGCTCAAAACTAGGGACAGCTAGCACAGATTTTCTTGGTCTAGCTTCACACACACACAAAAACTACTTATTCATGAACTTTGTTTTATTGTTCTATAGCCTTGAGTAAGTAGCGGAAAATGTAAAAGTATCACAACCAGCAAATACTTGTTGTTGTTCTGTTAATATTATAATTAATAGAGAAGTTTTTGTCAGTTGTTGTTCCATACATGATCGAAAATACCTGTCACACTTTATAATCAAAACACAATAATGAATTGTTCGTTTCGTTGGAAGTTAAGTTTCGCATTTGTGGTTTAGGGTAGCAAATTATGTAACTAGTTTTAGTTTTACACTTTAAATAACATTAATATTGATAAATTACCATGCCATCACGACCTTCCGGCAGAAGAAGCAAAGCAAACTAGGTTTAGTGAGGAATGACTGACAAATATTTCCCAATCTTCAACAAGTAATTATTTTAAGATTGTGGAGAGAACTTCACATTTATGCCTCAATAACGCTTGAAGAAGAGTAAGAAACACAGTTTAGCTCATTATTTTATTTCACATTAATCACTGAAATATAAAAAACAAGATCCATGGTACGATATTATACCAAATATAACAGTTATTTATTTCAGATCATAGTAATTTGATAGACGAGGCATATACCTGTTCTCAGATTACCTTGATGGTACGTTCTTTTCATCAGTTTTTTCAATTTATTTTTGAGGTCACTAATAAGAACACAAAGAAATGATAATACTGTTGTCAGTGGTTGTTTGGAATAATCACATACAGAAATAACAGTGGTGGAGGAATTCTTTAAAATTGTCAATAACAAAGTTAACAAGTTGTAACAGATTCACATTTCTTTGTAATACATTTTTAATATTATGTACGTTAGAATTAAACAACCCCTATTTACTTGATATTTTAAATGCTTTTTGAATAACAAATTTTACAATATTCTTCTTAACTTGGTCAGGAAAAAATATCAATATAAAGTATACAACCCTAGAAGCATATTTTATAACAATTAACAATCAGAAGTTTAAAAAGACCTTTTTTTTTATAAATTATTAAAATATGCCACCAAACAGTGTTATTTTATGTGTAAAAAAATGTAACTTATGATCAGATTGATAAGGTGGCTATAGTCTAAATTAGTTCCAAAATTAGCCAAACTTTTTTTAAAGAACGAGAGTTGTGGGGAAGATTTCCAGTTGAATTTAAACCTATATTGTATGAAATATATCTTGATGATAATTTCATTATTTTCAAAGATACAGCCATGTTCAAGATTCTTAGAAAACCATAATAAGCAACATAAAATTCTACGGTTTACTGTAGAAGAAAAATTTAATTCTATCGTTCCTTTTCTTGGAGTTATAAATATGTTACAAATCTGATTGTAAATGTTTTTGTAAAAACAAACAACAAAAAACTAACTAGTTTGGAGAGCTTTACTATCGGACATCTTTCATTTGAATAATGCAGAGTATTGGTTCCAAAATCATCTTTCTTATTTTGAACGTAAATAAAACATTAACTAACAAACTTATAAGACGTAGTTTGCAATAGCTCGTAGCCTAAATCAAAGAGTTTTTATTGACATGTGTACCATTAGTGGTTGCCAGCTCGTCTAACCTATATTCAGTGACGGGTCCACGTTCTCTGCCACTTGTCTACAGTCACACTGGCGATGGCGTCCGTTAATCTGATGTGTGATTTCAGAATGGAAGAAATAAGTAGTGTCAATAAAAACTCTGCCACTTGTCCACAGTCACACTGGCGATGGCGTCGGTTATTCTGACCTGTGATTTCAGAATGGAAGGAATAAGTAGAGTCAATAAAAACTCTTGGAGCTGGGCTAAAAGATGTTTCAAACTACATTTTGTATGTTTGTTTGTTAATCTTTTATTTACGTCCAAAATGGGAGGGATAATTTTGGGACACCCCCATATATTATGAACGATGTTTCGGGACTCTTGTTTCAACTTAAAATAAATTCAAAAAATCATTTTAAAACAGAATACTTGCAGTCAACCCACCACGCGTAATTTATGAATATTTATGTGTCGGCTGTCAGAAAAGGGTCTATTTGTCGAACACTGAACAATACACGTTCATGGAACGCGCATTAAACTGTGATAGTTCCATGTTGATTAGCACATTTTCGGATTATCGGCTCATGTGATTTTAGGGAATCCTTTAGAGCGAAAGAAACCGTGTTCAGTTACTTCAGTCTGAGACTGATGTAGCCTTTTCTTTTACTGCTTTAAACATTAAAATATAAATAGTAAGCTTTTTAAGTCTGTATACATGATTTATAGCTTGAAAGATATAAAATAACGATTTCGTGAAACTTGTGTAACATATTATTGAATCTGGCTCATTATCATATGTCACAAATACTAAACAATGAAAAAAATGATTTGTGTGTAATAACACACCTATATATACCACCACATAACTAAAATATAGAGATTATTTTAGAAATAACGTGTTTTTAAGATTACATTTTCCTGACCTCGACGTTAATTAAGGGGGTTAATTTCTTGAAGAGCACGTTATTATTTACATTAAATATGATTACTAGGGCACATTCTTCACGTACAACTCTATGTATATTTCGTTAAAGCATGAATGTCGTAGTATATAATTGTTGCATGTAGATCCACCTTCTTTTCTGCAACCCATTATCATCATTGACTCTTCTTTTCCTAGTTATCTCGATAGTTCATCGTCTTGTTGCTAATTGGGTTCACGCCATACTTTTCAAATGCTCTTTTAATTGATTCTAGGCTTCTGCAAGGATAAAAATAAAAGAAGAATACGTAGAGGAATTAATGTAAACTCTATAATTTGTTTAGCACAACAGTAATGCTCGAATAAAAACTGTATTACAAGGTGAAAATGTATAAAAGATAGTATCAAAAAGTCTTACTTCAAACAGCTGTTTCTAAAGCAAGAAATCTTAAATGTTCAATGTTAAAGAGATAGGCGATAATAACAGATTTTGTTCCTGTATTAAACTTTCCAAAAGCAGTAAAATGAATGTAGTATTAACTACTGTATGACTCCAGGGCTGGTCGTTATACAGCATGGAATGCAGTCCATGGTACGTCTGGTAGGGGGCCGGGAGAGACCGGTTCTTTTAAATAAAACAAAACTAATATTCAATACAGCTCAACTAGACATAGAAGAGAGACTATGACGCGAAGTGGCAAGAAAGTTACTCTGCTGAAGAATTTGCTGTCTCTTCTAAATCATTAACCAATAGGACGGGAAATCACGGAAAGAAGATGGACATGGCTAGGACACACGTGAACCTAAACAACATAAGAAGCCGGAACTGACATCCACAAGGCAAGAGGTAGACCATCTACAAATCCTTGAACAGAAATAGGGTTGGAACCTATCAGATTGGTATAGGAGGAAGCAAAGACTGCAGCAAAAGACCGCCAAAGATGGAGAATAGTGGTGAAGGCCCAATGTTCCGCATGGGATGAAAAGGTAGAAGATGATTATGTGATCAATAATCGTTGCGAAAGAAAAGGGGAGAGATGGAACACGGAGAATTGACAACAATAGCTATAAACTAATTGTCAAGTTCACAAGCGTTAACAAGTGTACTTTAGGGATAAACGAACATCGCTATCGACTGACGTGAACGGAATTCCCGTTTGTTTGTTCTTCTCGATCTATTTACAAACTCTGTAAAATGGACTCAAAGATCGTAAAATCAGTTCAACATTGACACTAGGATCATCTTGATCGTTTATTTCTTTTCGAAAAATTTCATTCGAGCTATTTAATTGCTGTGGGTGTATCTGAATACAAATATTTCAATTATAGGGGAATATGAGAAACAAAATAACTACAAATCAATGTGTAGTAAAGGGCGGCGGATGGTGTTCTCCCATGTCAACAGGTATAAGTAGGGGATAGTTACACCTGAACTTTAGAAGGCCCTGGGATAATTACACCTGAACCTTGGGAGTCTTCGGGATAATTACACCTGAACTTTAGGGGTCTCCGGGATAATTACACCTGAACTTTAGGAGTCTTCGGGATAATTACACCCGAATTTTAGAGGTCTCCCGGATAATTACACCGAAACCTTAGGGGTCTTCGGGATAATTACACCTGAACCTTGGGAGTCTTCGGGATAATTACACCGAAACCTTAGGGGTCTCCGGGATAATTACACCGAAACTTTAGGGGTCTCCGGGATAATTACACCGAAACCTTAGGGGTCTCCGGGATAATTACATCCGAACGTTAGATGTTTGTTGTTTAACCTATGTGTCGTTCAGGTTAAAAGTACAAGTTTATGAAAATGATGGGTGGAAAACTGGCTACGATATACAGAGTGAATGTATTTTTAAAAGTCACTAAATTTAATGAGCGTCTATCGGTTGAAAATATTCTCTAGGAAAACTCATTTAAGTCATTTCAAATTATGTAATAAAAAAGGTATAAGGCAATTCATCAATACATTATGCATAATTATTCTAAACTAATAAAATATGAAGTCTTGCATGAGAAACAAAAACTTGAGTAAGCTGAAGTCAAACTTACATTTTTTCGTTATCTGAAGGTGAGGAATTGGTTGTCGTCTGCGCATCCTTAAAGTTTTCCTCCATATATTGACGATACTGATAAAGTTCTTCACGGAATTCGTTATACTGATCTTGCAATATACTGGTTTTATTGTTAACAGAACTTAAATTATCACTTATGAGATTCATTCTTGTTTTTGTATAAGATAGTTCTTCGGTAATATTATCATGAATTTCTTCCAAGTCTTTTTTCAAGTGGGTCTTATGTTTGTTAAAATTTTGTTCTTGTAAGTTTACTTTTTCAGAGACTGATCGTAAGTCGTCTTTAATGGCAGTTTGTACATTTTCTGTAGTATCTAAACGTACTTTCATATCATCAGTTACTTGTCTGCTTCTTGCGACATCCTTAAACATTTTAGTGAAGTTACTTAAACTATTTTCTTTCAATGCTTGAATATTTCCTTTCATTATTTTCAAAGATTCTTCAAAGCGCAGAATTCGTTCTCTTATTTCACCAGCGATATTGTGCAATGAAGACGTCAAATTTTCTTCTATTTTCTCGTGAGTAGATTCGTTCATATTTATGTAGTCAGATGATGGCTTTGTATGTTCTTTATCTCTCCTTTCCTTCTCTTTTGCCAAAGACGACGTCAGATCGCTAATATGGTTTATGATTTCAGATATCTTTTGGCTATGAAAATTATTTACGTCTTCCAATTTTCTGACCTTTTGTTGGAAAGTAGTAAATTCTTCCAACCTGTATCCCAGGTAGTAAACTTGAGATGTTAGCCTGGCAATACTTTCATCGTCATTCTTTGTTCTATCAGTAGAACGCTTAAAACGAGCAGCTTTTGATTTTGATTCCGCTGTCACTAGAGCAGCAGTGAAGAATATTAAGTACACTATAGAGACCATCTTAGAAGTAGCGTGTTTTAAGTCTTTACGTTCTGGCTATGGTTTGTACGACTGCATATCTCAAGCACTGACTTACACTAAAATCACTCTAAGGAGACCTGCAAAGCGTCACTTGAAAAACACGGATCACCAGGTCATTTGCGTGGGCAGCTTATTAGAAGTGGTGGAAACTTAAACAAGAGAGAGTAGAATTACCAGATCTACTCAGTGAATACGTCAGAATGTCTAGCAGTAAACAATCACGCTAAGCATAGAATATACATTTAATTGTACAATATAAATGATATCATACACTGTACAATATAAGTGATATAATACACTGTCCAATATAAATGATATAATACACTGTACAATATAAATGATATAATACACTGTCCAATATAAATGATATAATACAATGTACAATATAAATGATATAATACAGTGTACAATATAAATGATATAATACAGTGTACAATATAAATGATATAATACACCATACAATATAAATGATATAATACAGTGTACAATATAAATGATATAATACACCATACAATATAAATGATATAAAACAATGTACAATATAAATGGGTCGATATCTAATTATTTTAATAAATAAAATCATTCCAGAAAACAAAAACACAACGGTTACTGCAAACCGAAACAAAGAACATTTTTGTTATATACTTGACCTGAGAGTGCACACATTAATATTTAACATATTTTAATTGTGTAAATATGAAAAGTTCCATTTTAGTTGATTGTTAGATTTTAAGCAATACACAAGTGCTGATCATTCTTATTTATGCAAACATTGTTTATTTCGAGTAGAATTCTTTATTGTATCTGGCACATATCGGAAGTGTGAACAATTAATTATAAGAATGACATCCATCAGAAGCAAGATAGATGTATTCTATCTATCATCACTTGAATGTAGGGTTCTTTGATCTCAAGAGGTTGAAGATCAAGTTCATTCATTAATCTCTGTACGAATCTAATTTTTTTTGACAAAAATATCAATATAAAAAATCGAGATATCTGATATACCCCAGTGTTGTGTATCATTGAATAATCATTAATTATTAAATTTACTTTTATTACATGAAATACTTGATACACGGCTTAATTTAAGGAAAACAATCTTTCTGCCCCTTTTTTCCTCTTCTTTTTATTATTAAGGCGTCATGGATAAATCCTTTATCTTGGATTGCCTTTTTTATTTAATATCCAAGATTTTTCTCTGACAGTTGTTTATTAAGTTTATAATATCGCTGGCCTAGTAACACATAAAACTAGGGAGAAAATATGAAAAATCTGTTACATAGTGCTGAAGGTTGTCATCTAGTCAGTAATAACGTGACCTTGTTTTGACCTCATAAAGACTTACGGAATAAAGGTTTCATTATGTTCAAATACGTATGTTATGAAATACTCTGCTACAATAAAAAAAAACAGAACAAGCCTCATTATTCTCATACAAATAGGATGTTACAGTTTTAGTGAAAACTCTAGGGCCAAAACATTCAAACAAATACTTGATTTTATTTTAACAGGGTACGTAGCTCACATTTTATGCATATAATTAATAACCGTTTTGATATTTCATTGAATTTTTCATACATAATAGCACGCAAAAAAATTTAGCTTATATACGTGTCTTGATTAAATTCGTTAACACAGAAGTAAGAGTTCAAATTACAGCACCCTCGGTGGCTCAGCGGTAAGTCTGAGGGCTTTTAAAGCTAAAAATTGGGGTTTGATACCCGCGTGGGCAGAGCACAGTAAATACTGTTATAACAATTAAAATATGTTATACAAAGAACCACCAGGGAGACCCAACGTACCTAATTAAATATATTTTTTTTACGTTCTTGCTTATTATCATTACAATGCATTGTTTCATCAATTGGGTACTTTCATTGTTAAGGATATTTTCGGTCCTACATTATTCATCTTGACCATTGACCAAAATACGAATGGCTAATGCTTATTGTTTGTATGAAGCTCACCATTTAACTAAACCACTACAAGCAGGTTTTAGTAAAACTGCTCTTATGAGGAGACGATTAGTTAGGCTGGACAGAACTCTTCAAGATAGCAACCAAATGTATATGTATTATTCAGGTTGATTTTTAGTTGCATTCCAACTAGGTAGCTTGATCTGATTGGAGATTAATATTACTTATAGCAAGATCTTTCGCCGATCATACTCGCTCTTTCAGTGTTGGGGAGTTATAACGTAACTGTTAATCCCAGTATTCGTTGGTAATGAGTAGCAAAAAGGTTGGCGGTGCGTGATGTTGAGTATCTGCCTTCATTCTGGTCTTATCACTTCAAAATTAGGGACAGTTAGTAGATATCACCTTCGATTAACTTCGTACAAAATTCAACAAACAAACAAACGTTATAATAAAACTTTCAATATGAAAATCACCTGACAAACATAACGGTGTAAAATCGCAGTGAAACGGCATGTATCAGAACTATATTTTAATACTGTTTGGTGTTCATAGGTAGTGTGATAACACTAAAAAGTGATCGATTTTAAAAAGGGCGTATAATTGTCCTTTCCAAAACAAAATATTCATAAACCTAGATCATAAGTATGTGTTCAAATCAGGGATTCAACATTTTCTAGACGAGGATATCACTTATACTTACTGGCACTGGAAAACAAAGGAATATGGATCAAGTTTGGAGATCACGACTATCCAGAAAGAGACCTGAAACAAGTCATACCTCATCAGCGACAGCTTGTGAGAGCTGAGAATCCATGAACACAAATATCAATGGTAAAATCTGTTCACGAATTCCAGGTAACTGCACAGAACATAATCAAGAAGGATCTCCATCTAGATTAGTGATACATTTCACTCGTACACAAACTGCTTCCACAACATATATATGTTCAACTGTCGCATACCTAAAGCAGCTGGAGAATGAAACGAATGTTCATGCCATTCCACATGAAAACATACTAGTCACTGGATTTATGTGCAACCAAACTGTTAAAACGTGTGCCGAGAACCTGCTGTCCTTGTACACTAGATAGGTTATGGAAAGCACGCAGAAAGGGGGGATGTGCTTGAAGATGATAGTCTTACGAAGGAGTCCTTTTGAATGAAAAAAAAAACACTCTAGAGCTATTGTTAAGATGCAAGGTCATCAGATAGACAATAACCAGTCATAGTGCCACGGACTGTAATGATGTCGTGAGTCTCCATAATCGTTTAATATAACGTACTCAACCTCTATGTATGTCTTCTGAATAGTGTTTTAATTCCCGTTTTTTAATGTTTAATATTATATGAAAATGAAAATTTAATAAGTAGATATATAACAAAGATTTAAATCACAGAAGATAACAATTTATATTAACAAGATAATTCCTTTTCCATCTTTTGGTAAAATCGATCTTCATGGACACTGCGAGACAATTGAATACGCTTAGGTGACTAACGCATGATATCCTTAAAAATGGTGTGCAATTTCACCATTCTACGCCATGCCATTTGTGAGATATGTCATGCTGAACTGTGATACTTTCTTTATAATCATATTGTAGTTATGAAAGAATAAAATGTGATGATATTAATGTCATCACATTTGTTTATATCCTCAACCAGGACATCTCGACAATGATAATTTAACATCAACTAAGTCTGAGAGCTTATAATGCTAAATATTAGTTTCGATACCCACAGCTGACAGAGCACAATTAGCCCATTGTACAACTTTGTGCTTTACGGCAAGCAAACAACTTAATGTCAACTTATTCCATGTTGCAGAGCCTAGCCTAATTACACATATTGACAGACAAAGAAATTATATAAAAAGATAAGGATCCAAAAGTAACCTTTTTTCACATGTTTACACCAGGGTCACTTGTGTGGTTTATTTCGCATGTTTTCTATGGGTATAAATGGGTTTGTCGATCACAGTGCAGCTCATTCAACCAACATGAAACTGACAAGTGTGCAGAGAGATGAGCTTCTGAAACGTTATTACACCAAAGGATGTAATACCGAAGCAGCTCTCAGGGATTAGTGCAGAGTGCATAACATCTGCAGAGAACCTTGTTCCAGCACAAGTTCGTAAAAAAATTGAGAAGACAGGTTCCACTTGTGATAATCCACATACAGAGAGACCATCAACTCTTATTGAAATTATCACTGAGCTAAGCCATACCATAGGAGAACAAGCCCCAGGGAGTGCAAGAGTGCATACTGTGTCATCTGGTGTATGGACTTTCCAATTTCAACTGTTGTGGACTTTTCCGTACAAGCTGCACCAAGTTCAAGCACTGGAAGAAACGGATTTACCTCAGCATGTTGAACTGACTTTGCAGTTCATAGCAAGACTAGAAGTCGATGACCAATTATTTTATGGACTGATAAAGCACACTTCACCATTTCTGGAAGTGTCAATACGTGCAAATGCATTAGATGGTCAGAAATTAATCCACAAGTAACATTTCTTACACACTTTCATGAAGCTAAGGTGATAGTTTGATGTTGTTTCAGAGCAGACTTTGTTATTGGGTATTCCTTTCAGAAAAACCCTTGACACATGTACTGAAAATATGCACAGTAGCATGCAATGCTAATAAACAATGTAATTCACATGCTGTAGCAGCAAAATGTGATAGATGCTACAATTATCATACAAGATGATACCCTTCTTCATTTCACATCATTTTCCTTGTTAATGGCCACTTCGTTCATGAGACCTTACACCAAACAATTTCTGGTTGTGGGGATACCTGAAGTCACGTGTGTACCGTGAGAAGCCTCTCACTAGTTCAGACCTCGAGGATACAATTGTTCAAGAAGTGGCCACCATATCAGATGTGATATGCATCATTGCTGTAATGTCTATTGCCACACAGATGTAATGCATCCTAGACAGAGGAAGAGGACATTTTGAACAAGTGCTGTGGTTGATCAGATATTAGGTCATAGTGGCGCCATGATGGCAACATGTGGAAACTGTGACGTTTGCATCCACGTGATGCCCTCAAAACTCCTGTGCAAGTTCACCTTTCTATTCCATGTCGTTTGTGAGTTATTGTGCTCTATACTGCGATTCTTTCTTTAAAATAG